TGCTTCTAACGTTTAGCTCTTGAGTGCTAAATTAAGCAGAATCTGTTATTTGAAAACACTCGTTTCAGTTTTTTAAGCAAAAAGTTAAAAAGCATTTTTTAAGCTAGCGTGTTTTCTTTTTCTTATTTAGTTTCAAATGTGTTTCACACTCTATCACACATTTTCTCCTTGATCTTACTAATGGTATGCCACTATGACACTAAATTTAGTTTGACTTTTGAGATACTCATTAAGTAAGACATCAACTCATGTACTCATTGAATCTATTTGATTTATGTGTATATCAATTCTAAAAAAATGTGTGAAGTAGGAAGAGGCATCCACTAGTGGGCTGTTATCGTCCGGTCAAAGTTTCAAATTTTGCTCCATGGGGAATGAACTGATGCGTCCCGCCAGAAAACCACTTTCCTCTAAGATGTCGAGAGTGTATTTCCTTTGACTTAGAACAAAACCGTCAGGAGAGTGAGCAACTTCGATTCCAAGGAAGTATTTTACCTTTCCCAAGTCTTTGATACTAAACTGCGTGTCCAAGTAACCTTTGACGGCGGAAATATGAGGGGCGTTGTTTCCGGCCAAAATGACATCGAACATAAATAAGAGCAAAAGTGGTGATTGCACCTTGTTGGAAAATAAATAAAGAGTGATCTGCCCGGGACAGGCGAAAACTTATGCCATGAAGAGCTTGAGTAAATTTTTGATACCAGTTACGGGAAGCTTGATGTAGTCCGTATAAGGATTTTTGTAATTTGCAAACACTAGTGTCTTCACTCTTGAAGAAACCTTGGGGAGTACGCATATAATAGTTGGATTTCCATAGTGGTCAAATTTGGATAAATGTTACACTATTTTAAAGAGCAAACGCTAAACCTTTCTTATAGAATTCCCTTTTGATCCTTGTTGCTTGTTTCACCTCATCATTCCATCAAGACGTGTCTTTTTTTTGTGGCAGACATCCTTTAGATTCTCTGAGTATCTCCTTCGCCACTTTGGTGTCATTATAAATACCCCATACATCTTCCTCCAACATTTTGTGTGCACAAGTTGGAGATTCTCCAACATGATGATGATGATGACGACAGAGTAAAAAATAAATACCCCCTCCGTCCCGGTGATTTCTTCCAGTTTTCCTTTTTGGGCCGTCCCAATTAATTCTTCCAACTTTCCTAAAAAGGAATTCAACCCATACCAAAAACCCTATTTTACCCTCCCCAATAAAAAAACCATTTCCCACTCCCCTTCCCTTTTACCCATTCGCATCCCTCTCTCTCTCTCTCTCTCTTACTCCCACCCGCATCCCTCTCTCCCATTTACTCCCACCGCCTCCTCTTTCTCTGTCACTGCATCTGTCTCTCTCAATTACTCCAACCGTCTCTCCCATTTACTTCCTCCATCTCCCCCTCTGTAAATATATCCACCCATCTGCCTCCCCCTCTCTCACATTTTTATGGATCTAAACCCTAATACTTTGAGTATGGAGAATATTGAACACTTCATCGTCCCTGACAGTGAAGAGGTTGTTCTTCCGGAGGAAGCGGTGGCGTTGGACACAGATGACCCTGTATTGGTACTCCATCCGAGGTGCATGGCTCAGAACTCCCCGGCAGAGGATGCCCTCCTCATCATCCCGGACAGTGAAGAAAAGCTTCCCGAGGATGTAAGCGAGAAGCCTGCAGAGGTCGTGGGGGAGACGGTGGACCCAAATCGGCTTAAAAGACGCAGAGACATTGACATGCATCCTATTCGAAGAAGTCCCCGACTGGAGGAGTTCCTAAAAATAATTTTGCCAAAATGGGAAACAAGGATGTGGGACGTGGACATAGATTAAGGGAGTTTCTTCTATACCTTATCTTCATTTATGGTTTAATTCGTACTCTATGTCCATTGTGTGTAATTTGGGGGAAGCAATGATGAAAAATTGTTTTTTTATGTTTATTGTGATGCATGTGGGTTGTACATGGTGGTTTGGTATTATAAATGGTAGTTAGGCATACTGTGATGAAAGTATACCTTGTGTGTACTGGTCCTTTATGCATAATGTCATTAAACTGTCCCTTTGCATACTGTGATGAAACTAGACCTTGTGTGATGGTTCTTTATGCATACTGTGATGAAAGTAGACCTTGTGTGTACTGGTTCTTTATGCATACTGTGAAAGTAGACCTTGTGTGTACTGGTTCTTTATGCATACTGTGATGAAAGTAGACCTTGTGTGTACTGGTTCTTTATGCATACTGTGATGAAAGGAGACCTTGTGTATACTGGTTCTTTACTGCTATGATTGGTTCATTCTGAGTGGTATGCTATGATGAAAGCATTAGGCTGTGATATGGTACTCTATGCATGCTATGATGACCATATGATAGTGTTTGGGTGGTTAATGCATATTGTGATGACCATGACCCTCATATGTGGTATTTTATGCATACTATGATGAGCATATGAAAGTATTTTGGTAGTTTAAGCATACTGTGATGACCATGATCCTGTGATGTGGCACTTTATGCATACTATGATGACCATGATCAGTACTTGTGTGTGATGTGTATGCTGATGTTGTAGTTATTCATAAGGTCTGAGTGTGCTGTTCTTGTCCCAAAATGATGAAATCATTATGACCATTGCTAGATCACTATGTTTCTACTATTACAAAATGTCTCACTGTGTTTGTACTTCTACAAAAGGTCTGAGTATGCAGCATGTATTACAAAATGTCTGAGCATGTTAGTACTAATTCTAAATGTCTGCCTGTCCTGCAAAATTAAGGCCTGTACAAAAAACAAAAAATTTAAGGCCTATTATGTCTGAGCATGTACTTCATCACTGAAGATGATGATCATCATCATCTTCTTCAATTATGAAGTTCCCCTGACTTTCAGTATCCCCTGTTTGTTGCCCTAGAATCTGTTCTGTTGCTTCCAATAATTGAACATCTACCTCAATTGTTTTTGGAAGTATCCCTTCTGACTGCATCCTATCCTTTGCATTGTGTGGTAGCTTGTAATTGTTGCCTCCCTGCACTTTCAGAACTTCAATCATAACATACTGATAGCTTAGCCAAACTTTGTTTAGAGTCATAGGTGATAGTTGTTTGAAAGCATCATCCACTGCATGTAACAGTTCATCCACTGTCTTGGGTGCATTCTGGTCTTTCAAAGATTGTATTGCCCTAAAAAACCCTAGGTCTAGGATGTTAAGGTCCGGAGAATTGGGGGGCTGGTTAGTAAGGGTGATTGTAAACCTATCAACCATGGAAGCACTCATATACTCTGCATCATCATGTGAAATGTGTGGCCTTGCATTGTCTTGTTGTATTATGATTTCTTTGCTTAACTGTGGAGGCCATTTTTCCTTGATAGCTGGGAGGACTGTGTTGATTAACATGTCCTTGAACACTTTCTTTGTTATGCTAAGAATAGGCTTGGTTTCCATAACACCTGCATTTCTGTTTTTGCTTCTTCTTTTTGCTGCAACCTATTCAACAAATGGAAACATGCCTATTTTTCCATCCCAAATGACCTCACCACTTTCTGAAAAAAGGGGCCTACCCACTGCACCTAGGGACATGATCTTAGTTATGAACCTCTTTGATTTGCATACTCTGTGTGGATCAGCCTCTTCCAACCCCATGTATAATCTTTGAGATGTTTTTGTCATGAAAAACCATTTTTCATCAATGTGAATCACATTCTGAAATGTTTGAAAGGTAGGCTTCTGTGGCACTGACTTCTCTACCTGACTAAGACTTTACTTCAATCTTGGCAATTTATTTGCATCACTTAGAAATGGCTTTATTGCATTTGTATGCCTTCTGATGTTACCACTTTGAACCAATCTGTGGACACTTGACTTTGATATTGAGGTGGCAGCTGCCAAGGACCTTATGGTAGTCCTTTTATGCAGTGGGATCTGTGATACTTGAGATAGATCAAATTCTATCCTTTTTCTGCCATGGTACGTCCTACACACATTTACTGCCATAGGACAAGGCGCACACTTGTACAACTTGCTTTTTAACTGTGTCCCAAATGCCAGAAATAGTTCTTCTGGACACTTCATACTCTTCAGCAAGTATGACAAAAATACCTTTCTGAGCTTTCAAGTACCCCAAATAATCCCTCCTACTGGACATTAAGAGTACATGTGTTATGCGCTCTTTTTCACTGTTCGAAAGCCTTTTTTCCCACTGCAGCAACATGACCATCCGTTGTTACTATTTGCAGGTCTAGGGGTCCTGGTGTGGAAGAAGCTGGAGAAAATGAAGAAGAAGCTGCAGCTGTGGAAGATATTGCAGCCATGGAAGCTGCCTTTTTTGTTTTCTGTGTGCGTGTGTGTGCAGTGTTGTAAGTGTGTGTGTGTGTGTGTGTAAGGAGGGAGTGGTATATGTAAGGAACTAATCTCCCTCCTTTTTTGGATTGCCGTCTATGTATGAAACATTTAGTCAAATGTGAATAATCTTTACTATTCACATGTCAATCAATCTACTTTTAATCACTTTCCCACTTTATTAAAGTTTTTACCTCAAATTTTACGCATTCATTTACCCCATTCGGCCAAGGGTATAAGGGGAAAGTCAACCCCTTTATAAATTTGCATAAATTTGCGATACCGGTCAAAATTGGAAGAAATGACCGGGACGGAGGGAGTAATTAATAAACTAACTGAACAGCAGGTTAATTAAAGGAAATAAGAAAATAAAAGAACACCCACAACTGGAGCTATGAAACGTTCTACTGCATGTACTCCGTTAAACTTTTACAAGGGAACTGCAAGTGGTAGATTTAGGGAGTGTTTGGAATTGATTCTGCTTTTACTTCTTTTTTAAAGTAGAAGCAGAATCAGAATCAATTTTCAGAAGCTGGTCACCCTCAGCTTCTAAAAAAAATGATTCTTGGAGTAAATTAGAGCACCATAATCACTTCTGCACTTTCACCCAAACATTCCAACTTCTACTTCTGTTCTTTCAAGAAACAGAAGCAATTTTAAGAATGAGATCCAAACACCTCTTTAATAAGTAATGAAACACATCCTTGAGAAGAACCGAGTTCAATAACTGCATAAATGCATAATCAAATCGTAAGTGCATATATATGGATGTAGTACATACCTGCTAAACCAGGCAGCATTCACTATTTTTAATATAACATGATAGTACTAACAATATTCATGAATCTTTTGCAATCCGAGTGTCGGAGTGCATCCTCAGCTCATCCTGTGTTCCTCATCCCAGCAGCAATTCCATTGATGGTGATTAGCAAAGCATCCCGTAGTTTGTTATTATCATCGTCACTCCTCAACCTCTTCAATATCTCCACCTGAAGCATGTTCATAGGGTTCAGATACGTAAGCCTGCTCTCTATCAGCCTCCTAAGACTCTTGTTGTTCTCCGACAGCTTCTCATGTCCCGTCACCAACAACACGTAAGCCCCTGTCTTCATTAGTTCACTCCTCAGCTCTGAACCAAGTGCTTGTCGGTCTGGAGACACCAACACTTCGTCATAATGCTTCGCCATAGGACTGTCTGCCTTCCCCAAAACCATCTCTATAAGATCCACAGTCGATTGAAAGAACGGCCAGTCTTTATACATTTCCTTTAGGTCATCGGTGTGTCCTTTATCGCAAACCCCCTTCAGGCCCGCCCCGACCCCAAGCCAAGCAGGGAGGACGAAGCGAGTTTGGGTCCAGGCGAATATCCATGGGATTGCGCGGAGATTCCCTATGCCGGCTGAGCTCTTTCTTCTAGACGGTCGGCTTCCTATGTTGAGGTACCCAAGCTCCGCTTGGGGTGTGGCCTCATTGAAGTAAGTGAGGAACTCTGGGTTTTCGTACACCGTGCTTCGGTAACTGTTGCAACTGATGTTTGAAATGTCTTCCATTAGATTGCGCCACTTTTGTTCCCTTGGCGGTTGTGGTGGCCTCAAAGTGGCAAGTAGTACTGCTGTTGTGTAGATCTCAAGTTGCCTAACGGCCACCTGAGGTAGTCCGAATTTCGCCTGAACCATTTCTCCTTGTTCCGTTGACCGGAGTGTTCCCTGTCAAATTAGCAAAGAAATTCAAGTCGTTGTCTATGCCTTGAGGCCATTTCAAGTCAGAAAAACTAAAGGCTGGTTGAAGGACCATATAACCCTATATGGTAAAATGGATTATGTCGCAAATATATTAAGACACCACTAATGCTGTAAAAAGCCCTGGATGGCAGATTGGGGCCTAGCCTAGGCGTGGAACCGTAGATTACATGAGACTTCGGTGAATTATGAGGATCTAAGCGTGAAAAATAATAGAAATCCAAGGATTTCGACAACACTTGGCAAGTCTTTTACATGTATTTTTTTCATTTTCCTTATCAAGAAAGTCAAAACAGGAAGGGGCATCGTCTACCTAGAAACAATGCCACTACTTTTTTGCATGTCTTAATATCTTCTATACAATTATTTGGCTTTACAAACTTTCATGGCAGACCTCAACGTGTTAACAGTGTTGGTGTACTTTTTTTCTATAAATATTATAAATGTATTTGTTGGGTTGGATGAGAGTATGGTTTTGGAGAGAGCAAAGTGGATGACGCACATACGTGTGGATGATTGATGTCTTGTCTATCTTTCCTCTCTTTTTTCTTTTATTATTTATCTTCCTTATCTTTTTATATTCTTATGTTATTTTTATCTTTTAGCTTTTTTATGCTCTTTTATTTTTTATCTTTTATCTTTCTTATATTCTTGTGTTATTGTTATCTTATATTTATTTATCTTTATTTTATTCATTTTATCTTACTTTTTTTCTTCCCTTTATTGTCCGTCTTCTCCTTTTGGCATCGATATCATAGATCGATTCATGTTAGCCGACCCAAAATTCTTTTGGGATTAAGGCTTGGATGTTGTTGTTGTATCATTTGTTGTTGACTTATCCCGATTAAAACTTGGAATTTATAGGCACTCTGTTCCTGCCGGCTGCCAAATGCCAATGATGGTGAGAAAAATCTAAATGAATTAGCGTGCAGTTTCAATATGGGTTAGAAAGACTAACCATAACAGAACCAGGTGGCTGTGATTGGATGGCGAGATATGTGGGGCCGCCGCCACGGCCAATGCTTCCCCCACGACCGTGGAACAAAGTGACTTTAATACCATATTCGTTACATGCAGCTACAACATCTTCTTGAGCTTTGTATAGCTCCCAAGCAGCAGTGAAACGGCCAGCATCTTTACCAGAGTCAGAATAGCCAACCATTACCTATTATGCGGCACATTAAAGCAAGAGATGAAACCACCAACATAGTGAAGTAAGTGAACTGACTGTACACTAATGTATATAAAGATAGGAGTACCTCTTGGTGTCCGTTGTGGTTCTTTATGACGTGCTCTCTATACCAATCAATGGATAGTAATTTCCTGATAACTGACCCAGCTCCTCTCAAGTCTTTCACAGTCTCAAACAGAGGAACCACTCGCAAGCTATTCAAAATGTAAAATTTGGTTATAATAATACTTCATACTCGGCATATTTAAAATCTTATTAAATCTATCCCATCATATTCAAACCCTTCATTCAACTTTTCAAGGGTATGCATAACTTCTAGTCAGATAAAATAAAAACACATGGAGCTTCAGATGTAAAATTTTAGTCTTCCCGAGAATATCCACATATGCTAAAGATTAGATTGTTTGTAGTGCAAGGTTTGCATATCGATGACTTGGTATTAATTTGTGGTTAATGTTGAGATAACTTCAGCTGTTATATATCCCTATATCAATGTCTCATGTGGGAATGAATAGAGAACATCGGGGTTAAGAAATTGAACAAAAAAGTTACTTATTGCTACAAACACGAAAGTAGCATTTCACTCTTACGTTCCACCAGGACATGGTTTGCCCAGCTCACCAGCAACAGCAAGACGTGCATCCTTCTGCAAAAGCTCCACTGCAAGGACATCACTAGCCTGCGAAGAAGCCAATTTATGAAAACACTAAATCCACTAATACTGCTGGGATCTTTGATATCGAAAGTGAATGTGTATGTACTATTTTGCACAATAATAGCAAAAGCAACATGACAGTAACTATTATTATCACCATTAGTTTATTATTTTATTAATTAATAAGAACAACTAACCCATCATGTTTAATGATTTGCTTGTTGAATTTATAATATTAAGCTTGTCAGTTGTAATGGAACGTGACTATAGAAACGATCTCAACCCATCACTGTCTACATATTTATTGGTTTTTCCATACATTTGTCATAAAACTTTGCTTCCGTCTTTTTCGCATGAATTTATAGTGTGAACTAATTCTAGAAGAATAACTAAGACTAAAAAATTTATGAGCCCAACCCCATATATTTAGGATTTAGGTGGCGGTGGTGATGATTAGTAATAATAACAACCAAAATAAATGAGAAATATACATGTGATGCCATGGAGATGACATATGCTCCAAGTGAGTCACTCCCTAATTCAGCTGCAACCCTAAAAGTGTCCAACACTTCTTTGACGTCAGGAGCAACCTTACAAGAAAACAGAAGAGAAAAAATAGAGAACACTTTGATGTTAGAAGTATTAATGGGGCTTAAAAAATCCTAGCACTGGACAAAAAACAGAAGTGACCTATGGGAAACTATAAAAATAATTGCAGTAATTAAAAGTAATTCCCAAACATGGAGTTGTACACAGTAAAACACCGCAGGACAATTCTCAAAGACATAAATCTGTAACAGTATAGTGGAGTGATTATTTTAAGAAATAAGTAAGCAATTGGGAGATTGTTTACAAGAATAATCTTTACATATCCTCTCTCAGATTGTTTCCTAGTTAAAGTAACTTAGGTTAGTATTTATTTCAGTGTGTATCAATGAAAATATACACAGATTAGTGAGCAAAATTATGTATTTCAATTTTCAAATGGGATGCAAGCACACCACCTGTTACCTGTATAGTTGGAGGGACTAAAGGCCTCTTCCCTTTCAACTCCATAGTTAGAAACTCCAGCTTGCGCTCTTCATCCCACTCATTATATGTTCCTATGTCCAGGTAGTTTGTAATGGCATCAAGTGCTTCAGAGTGCCGTGCTGATTCCTGATGCATTACAGTAACAGTAAGGATATCTAAATCATTGAAAATACATTGTGGTCTGTGAAAGTAATGTAAAGTATACCTGTCGAAGGTCAAGCTTCATCAATACCATCCCAAAAGTAGCAACTCGCCTGATCAAGTCAGCAAGTCTACCATCAGCTAGAACCCCAGATCCACATGATTGCTGCAAAAAGAACAAGATGTCGTCTTTTAACGATTTATTGGATGGAGGGTTTTGGGGGATGGGAAGGGAAGAATTTTGAAAGCATAGTCTATATTTTGATGAATAGAATTTTCAAAAAACAAATAAAAGGTGAATGAAATGATGTATGAATTCTTATAAAATCTCATATATATACCAAAAATCAGACTAGGTCCTCCCAAACCTTCCCCTACAAACCCCTCACAAACCCTTTATCCAAGCAAGCCCTTAGTCTATGAGACTGAAGTATCTACCCTGATGCCCATTCATATATTCTCCTTTTCATCGCACCGTCAAAGAAAGTAAAAAAGGAATAACAAATAAAAGATATTTACCAGTGAATCATAGCAGAGTAGTAATGGTTCAAGAAGCTGATCTGATGTTTCATAATAATCCCAAGGGTCATAGTCACAAGGAAGATCCTCAAGTAGTAGTTCAAGCCGCCTCCGCGTGTTCAGGAGCTGATTGGGAAGAGCAAATATATGAAGCAACTTAATGCTTCAAATAGAGAACACCTTAAGACTATAATTAGTGAAAACATATAAAGCTCAAGTTTGACCATGGAGAAAAGCGTATCATCACTTATTTATCCTTGAATCAATCTTCTCAGCACATTCATTAATTGCAAATCTAGAAGTTGAGCATATCAATGGTCATTTTATAAGATAAATAACTTATATCCATCTTATATAGTATTCTGCACTCTAATTTAGATCATAGGCTAGTTTACATTACCTCAACATCTTCAGGTCATTCAAATGTAAATTATGATCTTATGTTCTTGATAATGTGAACTTAAAGACTTGATCATTTTATCTCAGGTTTTAGTAAAGTTCAATGCAATGTCATAACTCATAACACTGACCTCATTCACAAAGATAGGAGTTTTGACTCCATCAAATCTGAGCACTACAAATCCTACGAGCTAGATAAAAATCTTCAAGGCATTAATTAAAGTTTGCTTCCGAAGTAATGTTCGGTTTGTTTTACTCAATTCTAGCATTGGCGGTCTTAACACAAAAACAGTAGACAAAGAGTGGTGGTGGTGGTGGTTAGACAGAAGGTACCTTCTCTTTTATATGTCCTAGGACAATCCGGTAAGGAGCTAACCCAGGTTTCTGGGACGGGCTTGGTTCAAGAAGCTTGTGGAAACTGGTCCTTCCAACCTGAGACTCGGCAAAAAGTTTCCTTTGGGTAAGAAGCTGACTGGAATTAAAGGAAGCAACCCGTGAAACTCCAGCTGCTGGAGCATTGCCATTAGAATTAGTTTTTTGGATAGGTCTGAGGGAGTCAGATGTAGAAAGATTTATGGATGTAGATTGACTATCCTGTAAAAAGATGTCCACGGCATTCAAAACATAAGAGGAATGTAGGGACTAGCATTGCAGTATGCAACAATATTTTTACCCAAGCACATGTGAATCAAAGATGTTGCACAAGCAGCTTCACCTGACGATTATATGGCTTGAATTCAGACCCAGGAATATCCAACCGAGGGTAGTGACATTCAACATCATTGCATTCTGCAATGGACACATGAATTTGTAGTGATAATATGTTTCAAGTTAATGAAGGTGCCCTTGCTAGTCAAGACAATTTAAGATAACAAAGTTTGCCCCCTGAAGAGCCAATAGTCGGTGAAGGCAACATGTTTTATGGATGACATGATTCACCCAGTAATCTATAAACTAACCCAGCATCTTGGAAGTATGGTCATTAAATGCTTATTAAATACGAAGGACGCAAATATGAGGGTGTATGAGAAGAGTTTAGTGACTTGAAGAATTCTCCAGTTTTCGGGAAAACCAGGAAACTGAAGGGTAGAACATAAATATAAAAATAACACTGGAAAACATATATACTCCTCCAGTTACCCAAATTAAAAATAATGAAAATCATTCTCGGATTCTGTTTTATTTCAGATGTGGAACACAATTTTTTGTTTTTCCCAGGAAAACATCAGTTCCTAAATACATAACTGGTAACCGATGACCACTTCCCAGTTGCACACAATGGTGGTTTTAACTAGGTCTAAGAATTCTCCAGTTTTCTAGAAAACCTGAAAACTGAAAGGTACAAAAAATTGTTTACTCCAGTTTTCAAACTTTGAAAAATGAAAAGTATTAAGTCTTTGATATAAGCATCAGCTTATCCATTTGAACCCTTTCATTCTATTCTATTTCAGATTTTAAATGTTTCCATGATTTCCGATGGAGCCAAAGACTCAATATCTTATCCTATCTTTTTATCTTCCTTTTTAGTCTTTTATCTTTTTATTTCATATGTCGATTCATGTTAGCTGACCCCAAACTCTTATGGGACTAAGGCTTGGATGTTGTTGAAACATAATTTCAAGGCAAAAAAGAGAATAGAAAATGGAAAATGGAGAATCAAATCTATAGAAAAGAATATAGAGAATGGAAAACTGGAAATGCTATTAAACAAATCCTACTTTTTCTTTGCATCTTTTATATGACAAAACTCTGAAGTCTGAACCATCTGATATAATATTATAAGTAATCAATTCAAATCAATTATTACAATCCAGCACTTAAGAATTGATATGATTTTGGTGTTAACAAAAGGCAACTGTTTTCATTTTGTATCAATTTTCCCAAGGAAATCAACTTTGCTTAACAACAACCCGTTTATGAAAAAAAAAGCAACATAAATGAAAAGAACCAGAAACAAACCTGTGCAAGAGGGTAGATCAGCTCCAGTTGGGAGCTGCGATGGAAAAGGCAGAGAATGGTGGCCTTGGTTCTTTGACTGAGTCAAAATTGAAGGCTGATTCCTGTCATTGCGATCCGGGGATGCGTTTTCTGGAAAGGCTCAAGTATAATCAAAAGATATGACAGGCTGGCTGGTAATACAACAAAATTGACAGTTGAAAATCTACCCTTATGTTACTCCTTTTTTCTTACTATCAGCCATTCATCTGAAGATATGCCCAGTTTAATAGTACTCTGTATAACAGTATTTCAGCTCCTGACCACACTGACAAACCCTAATTTTAAATCAGCCTTGTTTTTAATATTAAACTCTACATTTAACATGTTAATACTTAATATTGCACCATGCACCTGCAGTAGTTAATCTACATCTGTTGGACATGACCATTGGAAACTAAATCAGGACCATGGCTCTAGTCACAGAAAGCAACCCTAAATTCTATGTCAGTGTTCAAAATCAGAAAAACAGATTGACTATGTATGCTCAAGCAGGTATGTAAAGGAATATTAATATATCCATCATTCATGGACCTAAAGGAATGTCAACCAGCAAACCCTAATTTTAAATCAGTCTTGCTTTTAATGTTGATGGCAACCAGCAAACCTTGAGCCTCTAAGTAAGTTACGTGTACAAAATCACAAGGGCGTACCTTTTTCTAAGATTTCATGTGCCAATCTTGATAATATATCGCTGCATTGATTCATTGAAAGTTCAAACCTGAGAGTATCAATTTCTCTTATATAAAGATCAATTGCCATCCATCTGGACAAGAGAGAGACATCTTTTGTCACCTGAAATCAAACAAAAGTATTGATATAAGAACAGACCTTGAATATGTGCTTCAAGTTAAAAATGTTGTTTATAAGAGGTTTTTGGCCCATTCCATTCTTCTAGCCTCTATTTAACTTTTGTAGATAGCAAAATATTTTAATTTGCAAAACTTTACCTTTGATGTCACATTAGGATTTCCATCTCTATCACCCCCCATCCAAGACCCGAATTTTATTGGTGTGCATGTCAATGGAAGAGGTCTTCCAGTATGCTGAAAAGTAAGGGACTCATCATAGTTTTTTTGTAAGTTTAGTTATATTGGTAGTCAAACTCAACATAACAAAATTAAATAAACCTTTTTTAAAGCGATGCTGAGACGCCTAAGATAATGTGGCACTGCTTTCCAGAGAGTCTGCTCAACAATATTCAGGCCTGAAAATTCATAAATCATAAGTGTTATCTTTTGGAGTACGAAGAAACATATGTAAAGCCAAGGTATATTATAGTTTCTCATAGCCAAGGTATATTATAGTTTCTCATATTGTTACCAGCTCGAGCTTCATCAACTGGGGTAGGTTTGTGGCGCCTCAGCTCATCTGTTTGCCATATTGATGTTATCTCTCTCACCTATAACAATAAGAAACAGAGCACATGTTTGAAATATCTAATAGCTTTTACTTGGGCTTTTCCTTGAAGTATCGCCATAATAAAAACACAAACCAAGTCTTCAATAAGCATATCTCGATCTTCGATCCCAAGATCAGGCCGTTCATTGTACTCCAATAGGTGCTGAAAGAGTACAGATCTTGAGATTGAGTACTAAGAAATATATTCTTAAGTTAGTAAAAATTACAAAAAGAGTTATTTGACTATGGAAATGACAAAATGTACCGCAATTCGAATGTGTTTGTACTGTAATGTACGACGGTTTATTTGTGTGGGATGTGCAGTAAGTACAATCTCAACCTCCTGAGAAAAGAAGTAAGAAATGTAGTGAATTTACTAAACAGCTACACTATTAGTAATTAGCCACACGATATGTGAAAAATTGACATGGAGCACTGTGGAAATTCTGCCTAATACTTATTCTTTTTAGTGTTAACATTCCAATTTTGGTACACTGTATTGTATGAATATTTGGTTTGGCTATGTATGTTTTTAACATGGTACTATAATGTAACTTCTGATACTATCTTTCACAACTATGTATTGATTTTGAAATGGTAGCGACTTTAAGAGCATATAGAGTGAAAAACTGAAGAAGTGAAGACTGAAGAGCATATCTTATCAAAACTAAAATATTTTAGTAACAACTAAAACTACCATCAAATGCATGGTAGAACATGTTGGACGGTAGGTACAACTACAAAGATTCACATGTGGTGTCCTGAATTGCATGCTCTAATTAAAGTACAAAAGTAATGAGTTATGACTCATGCAACTTTGGTGATTGTATTAAAAAGTAGAGATCTAGTCATACTCAATGCTATGAGTTTTAACTCACAACTCATCACATTCAAACTCAATATGTTGAGTAGGACAACAGGTGTTGTAAAGCCTGTCGAACTTGACATGTCCGAGATCAGACAGTTGACTAAAGCCGCGGAATAACTCAATGTGTTGGGTCCGAACAGAATGTTATTTCATCAACAATAAATTAGAACTTCACAAATTGACTTCAGACATGTTGGACAGTAGGTACAACTACAAAGATTCAAATGTGGTGTCCGCAATTGCATGCTGATGCTCTGATTAAGGTACATAAGTAATGAGTTATGACTACATGCAACTTTGGTGACTGTATTAAAAAGTAATCAGAGATCTGGCCATACTCAATGCTATGAGTTTTAACTCAACTCATCACATTCAAACTCAATATGTTGAGTAGGACAGCAGGTATTATAAAGTGTGCCAAACATGAAACGTCCGAGGTCAGACAGTTCACTAACGCCGCAGAATAACTCGATGTGTCTGAGTCCAAACATAATGTTATTTCATCAATAATAAATTAGAACATCACAAATTGACTTCAGTCACTACTCAAATTCAGTCACTTCAGTCATTAATAATAAGCCTGTCTGATCATCAAGTTCAAAATTCAATTTTCAAATGCCAAAGATCAAAGATGGCTTTTTATAGTGCATAACAGATATCCCAATTGGTCCTATGTTTGAAAAGATAATAATGTCTTAATTCAGAGGAAGTTCAGAAATTATAACCCTCATAACCTCAACAACTACCATTTTGGCATTTTGGCTAAACAGAGAGATGGCACTCGCATGCATTGAGCATTTTCTCTGTAAAATCATATTTGAAATTCTTTCATTCTTAAAGTGTATGCACCACTTCAGACATACAGAAATAATTTTTAATAGAACAGATCTACTAAGAACTTTGTATAGCAACCAAATTTGTTCATCTTTGAATGTCAGATGTTCAGCCAAGTTCCATGGTTACCTTGACAAAAGGGTTGATTTAGCAAATTTAGGGAAAATTTGAGGAAGCGGTCCAACTCAGCTGGTCTCCGACTCACTCTCCCTTACGGGAGGTCTCGGGTTCGAAACTCAATGGAGTGAGTTTCAGCCCAGTTTACTCCAGGCCCCCCAGCCCCCCTCCCCCAAACCCCCCTTGGAGTAAAAAAAAAAGGAAAATTTTATATAGAACACCTAGAAGAGAGAAATCCATTTGAGTATCCTTGATACTTTGATAGCCTTCTATATTGTAATTACTCTACATAAACTTCCCTGGAGTATTATCCCAAAAAACTCACCTGCTTACAAACAGTGTCGTACAGTTCATCAGGGGTAACACCACTTTGAAGTAGTTGGTTGAAAGTGTCATCACAAGATTTGGATAGCTGTGGATCACCTCGTGCTTTCCGCACTCTGCAATAATATAGTTCATCTTGTTGTGATTTAGACAATCATTCAAGTTGTGTTACACTGACTTACACATAAACAGAGAATTGTTCTCCAGAATCATTAAGAAATGTATACTGTCTGATACAGCTTGGCAGGAAGTTTTCATTATGTTTGGAAAACCCATTACGGAACTGGGGGGAATGGGGAAGAAATGGGCACAAAAAAGAGGGAAAATAAAGGAGGTGGTTTTGAGAATGGGGTCAACGTATAAATCAAAACTTATTAGTTAATACAAATAAGTTTTCTGAAAGACCAACATATCACTAAGCTTTAGAGTATAAAATCAAACTAAAACATTACTTTGGCAATAGATTTTTGCAATACCAAAGAAATGAAGAATGTTCCACGAAAGGGAAAGCAATTGAATTGAACTGAAAACCCAAACAATCAGCAAATCACCTGTGATGTGTTTCTGCAATTCCCATCAAACTAAGATAGTGACTGAATGTACGAGCGAGAGACAGAGCTTCCTCAAGTGTCATTTTAGACAATTCTGAAGCTAATTGTTTCTCCAAAAGCTCTGCCGTATCCTCTATCCCTGTTATTCTCATGTTGCATGCACTCTGTATTTATATTGTTCCATAAGTAGGCAGCAAAGGCAGTATGCTAGGAAGTGAATTGTCACCATCTAAAGGTTGAGGCATACAACTGGATGCTAGGATTTGAAAGCATAGTTGAATTACATGGTAAATGGGTAGCATCAAGTCCATCACTTATCAACCACTACGATTTCAACTTATGTGTGTATATAAGTTATAGATCCTAACAAAATATAGAGTGGCATTCATGAACATGGCGTAAAATCCTCAAGCAGAAGCTAAATATAGCAAAGTATGAGCCAAAATGACAGAAATGAGCTATGGACTGATCAAATTCGCAAGTGGAAAACAAATACACACGCGGCGATCCATATATATACTCAAATGGTTTAAATCAATCATGCAAAATTGAAAACATACTTTTATGAGTAATAATTAGCAGCCTTATTCAACAAAAACTAGTTACCAATGCGTAAGCAAAAGCCGATTGAACTTCCGCGTATAGTAACTGATCCATAGTGAGGAAGACAGCAACAATGCAACCACCTATCGAAAACGAAAGGGAGATATACAAACCTGAGCAAGACAACGAGTCCGTTCAACTTTCTCCATGAACTTCGGGCCCAACTCCCGGTGAAGCACATCGTTGAGAAGGCTCTGCAGAAGACGGCAATCGTCCTCGAAGCTCTGGAACGATATCTCCTCCGCGATGTCGTCGGTAACGTCCGTCATTGATGTGCAAGAGAGAGAGGGCGTAGAAGAAAGAGTTTGTTCGGAAATGCAAAGTGTTGGAATTCAACAGTGAAGCGATATGAATGCTGAGTGATATTTTCCCACCGTTGAGAAGAGGGCGGAAAGGGAGAGCGAGATTGTTACAAGTGTCGACTGAGCGCCATTTTCAAGGACAGTTTGTTTCTTACATTTGGCAGGGAAACAAAAAAGGTGAACTCCGGTACCCATTTAAAAAATAGTGTACTGTACCTATCATTCACTTGATTGGTCTACATCATTATATCATTTTTAATTTAGATTTAAATAATTCAACTCTAAAATTCTTGTTGGTCCATGTGGACAAAGATACGATACCTTATGGGTACCATAGAATCTACCAAGAAAAAAACCCAATTTTTTGATTGCTTTATTCAAATGCACATTTTTTACAATTTTACCATAGGTATCCCAATTATGAAAAAATCTATTGTACACACTCTTAGAGTTCAGTTGGGTATACACTTTGTTGTACGAACACACTCTAGACCATTACAAGTTGTACGAACATATAATTAGGGAATCAGATTTGGGGTACACACTTTGTTCGTAGTATTTGTAACTCGTAATGGTCTATTTTTCTCTTTTGAACAACTTGAGTCTGTTAAATTCAGCTGCTTAGAGTTCAGTTTGTAAAGTTCCTTTTAGACCTAGGCGTTTGTACTTTTATATGCTTTCATATGTAGTACTTTGTTTATCTTGTTAACAACTTCTTCCCTCTTTGCTACATCTCTTATTTGTCCCTTTCCTTTCCAGATTTATGAGGTTAAATAATTAAATTTTAATTCAACTATTATATTTCACTTTTATGCTCATAAGGTGTTTATTGAAATAATTGAATATGATAAGTTAGAATATGTTCCTCATTTTTATGATATTTTACCACAATACCACGCTTATTGTTTGCTTAAATGACTACACAGGTGAATACTGATGGAGTATATGGCCCAGGAACCCCTCGGCCCACATACTTCCACTACTACGAACATGCCCAACAGGCCCAAGTGCCCCAAACACAACAAACATGACTCCGAACAGCCCATACTACACAAGGTGTTGCCTTCGACCCCATGCCTGAAGGCTCCATATTCGGAAAACAGTTACACCTGGTCCAGAAACACAACTAGGAACCAAGGCTAAAATTACGAGCCTTCGTCACTTGAAGGCCCCGGGGTACGTACGGCCTTCGGCACATGAAGGCCCCCGGGTACGTACGGCCTTTAAGACATGACGACCCCCAGGTACGTACGGCCTTCGGCACATGAAGACTCTCGGGTACGTGCAGCCGAAGGCACTACCCCGACAAGATCTCCTCCCTGCATGCTCTGGATCGCCGCATTAAATGTGGTGTCACGTCCACCCACCGCATTAAATGTGGTGCCACATGCTATGTCGGCGCCACCCTGGTTGAGTCGACCATCCACCGTTGATTGTTTGACACGTGTACTCGCATTAAATGCGCCTAGCATTTATGGCTGCTATAAATAGCAGGCACTCTTTCATTGTAAACGATCAAACACTTTTGAGTTCATTTAATGCACACCCACTCTCTCTCTTACTTGTTCTGACTTCTCTCCAGATACCCTTCAGCGGTATCCCCCGGATATACTATCCGTCATTTGGTGCTCTCGTTGAGAGGACGAACAATCAAGTAAGAACCTCCCCTCCGAAAAATAGAAGAAACACTTATCATAATGGGAAGAACTCGAGGTTAATCCAAGACCCTAGAAGACAAAAATCTAGGCTTCAGTGAGGTTAACACTGTTGAAGCCTCCAACAAGGCTCTTGAAGGCAGGGCCCTCGCTGAAATGGAGCAGGTCGCTGCTGACCTGCGCCTTCAGCTCCAGAAGAACGCTCCTGACGCTCACCTCGAACTTGAAACCTGAAGGAAAGACCGAAGTGAAATTCAAGCAAGCCCTCCGGTCCTAACCATCGATGTACAGTCGGCCTTCTCAACCTTCATCCACACGCTCACCCAGAACCCTGGTGCCTTCGGGGCTCTGGTGCCGCCCCAGACATACATGGGGGAGAACGTCATTCTACCTCCGCCCCCCTTCGTGTATCCCATTCTACGAATCGGGAACAATGAAGGGGTCATCGCCCAGGACACAACGTCCCAAGAGGCTCAGTCCCGGGACCAGCGTGGTGCAAACAAGGATAAGCCCCGGACCTCCGCCCTCGACAGGCTCGGAGGAGCGCATGATCACCGGGGGGGTCCAAGACTGTCTCGGTGGTAAAGCATTTAACAGGCCGCAGGAGAGCGGAGGATCTGTTTTGAGGGTGGATGAGAGACAACCCCCTCGGGACAATGGCAAAAGACCACTACATGCTGATGACGCTCGACATCAGATCAACGAGGCTCACTCAGCCCGCGGGCAATCCCATGGGACGGAGGCATCCCTGAAGGACCATCGGGATGAAATTATTGAGGTCCTCCAACGCCGACTTGACGAGATGGAGGCCCGCCATGCTAAGATAACAGCCTCCGCTTCACAGACGAATCCCAAATATGCCGCCATGCTGGCAAAGGTGGACGAAATGCAGAGGAAGCTCACCGAGGGTTCAGGGGAGTCTATCATTTAACTTCGCATGAAGACGCCTTTTACCCCAAGGGTATTGGCAGCTCAGATCCTGAGTAAGTACCAAGAGCAGACCATAAAGCCATATGAGGGGAAGACTGATCCCCAGGAGCACTACAGCATGTATCAAAATAGCATGATGATGATGGGGGCCTCGGATGAGTATTTGTGTTGTTGGTTCCTCTCCACCCTGGAGGGACCAACGTACGAATGGTTCAACCATTGCACGAAGGGAGAATTGACTCGTGGCAAGAACTCGCGCAACGTTTCCTGATGCAATTCGCGGGAAGGCATCGGTCAAAGAAACATTTCTCCCACTTATTGACGGTAAGACAACAGAAGGAGGAGACCCTCCGGGATTTCATGGAACGCTGGAGGCAGGAGACGGACAAAGTTGATGGCGTTGACGATAGGATGTTGATGGCTCTCTTGCAAACGGTTCTCCGTTCCGGAAACTTCTCAAGGAGCCTCATCACCTCGTGACTACATAAGGGCCCTTCAATGCAGGGATAGGTACGCGGAAGCTGAGGAGGTAGACCAATATCGCTGAAACCCTGAACAACCCTATAAACCAGATGGCAAGAATCACAAGAATTCGGGGGCTCCATCACATCCAGCAAAGGTGTAGGCCCCCTTCGGCGATCGACCCTGGCATGGCCAAGACATGTCCGGAGGAGATTACAAGAAAAACATGAGGGCTTGGGCACAGCCCACACTCCTCGAACGCCCTCGGACCCCATTGACTCATCCCATTAACATCATTTTCGACTACGCACAGGAAAGGGGTCTAGTGGAGCGAGATTATAGGGCACCTCAGGAAGTATACGCCATCAATGGCTGCCACCATCAGCCAGGGCATCGGACCGATGGCGTCCATCAGCTGAAGGCTGCTATCGAGAAATTGATAGAGAGGGGCCATCTGTCTGAATTCATCAGGGGTTCCCCTCATCAGGGCCCCCTACAAAAACAAACACCTGAATCGACCCGAACACCATTCCCCTCAGTGATCCAAATGGTAAGAAGCGGGAGATTGGAAACCTCAGCGAAGAAGAGGGGTACCATCATCTTCAAGAGAAGAAGCGTCATATCCACATGATCACCGGTGACAACATCGGGGGAGACTCCGTGAGTCAAAGGAAGAAATGGGCGCAGTCCCTCTACGTAGGGGAAGTCAATCACATGCCCCCTGTCAAGCGGTTAAAGGAGGAACCCATAGTGTTCACTAACACTGATCTCCCCCCGAGTTCTTTCCCTCATAGGGACGCACTCGTGATCCAGAGCGAGATCAACAACACTATCATCCACAGAACCTACTTCGACACAGGCAGCTCCGTCAACGTGGTGTACCTCAGTACATTCCGAGAGCTGCATCTGAAGCAGGAGTCCCTTCGGCCAATCTGAACCCCTCTATCCGGCTTCACCGGGGACACTATTGATTCTAAAGGGATTATATCCCTCTCGGTTCTCTTCGGCGACGGCTCCCATAGAGCCAAGCTCGAAGTGGAGTTCGTCGTCATCAACCTCGATTGTGCTCACAACATCATCCTCGGTCGTCCCGCCCTTGAGGACTTAGAAGCGGTAATCTCCATGAGGCACCTCTGCCTCAAATTCCCGGCTGCTGGAGGCATCGGGTACTCAAGGGGAAACCAAAAGCTTTCACGTGTCTGCCACCTCCGGATAACAAAGAAGGTTAGTAAAGCCGAGCTCCGCGTGGACCCCATCACCGAAACGGTGGAAGATGGAGAGGAAAGGCCGAGCGCGGAACCAGCTGAAGAGGTGGAAGACTTTGCGCACAATCCGGCCAAGCCGGAGAGAGTCATGAAGATAGGAGCCAAGCTCCCTGAAGAACTGAAGACCGGCATCATCGAGGCCCTCCGCGCCTACGTCGTCATCTTTGTGTGGGGGCGGAGGACAAGCCAGGAATTCACAGGAGGGTAATCACTCACCGTCTGGCAATGGACCCTTTGGTAACACTTGTAACACCCCGACCCCGTAGGCCTTGAGGTAATTACTTCTGACCTCTAGTACTGTCCTCACAAACCGCCACTAGCCTTTTCCACGCACTTTGTCCTCACTCGTGCGCGCCCTGAGAAACTTCTCAGGGGGTCACCCATCCCAAGACTACTCCCGTGCAAGCACGCTTAACTTTGGAGTTCTTGGCTAATGAGCTCCCTTAAAAGGAGATGCACCTTTTTGGTATGAGTAGTACTATTAATCCTTTTTAGATTAATCTCAAGTGTTACAATCACCCCCACTTAGGAACGCAACGTCCTCGTTGCGCCCATAAACCAATCTCAAATTTCAATCAAATCCCAGAATCCTCCCCCGCTAAGTGCCCACCCGATATCCAATGGGTCAGCATACTGTCGCAGGGTTGCTCTGATACCATTTGTAACACCCCGGCCCCGTAGGCCCCGAGGTAGTTACTTCTGACCTCTAGTACTGTCCTCACAAACCGCCACTAGCCTTTTCCGCGCACTTTGTCCTCACCCGTGCGCGCCCTGAGAAACTTCCCAGGGGGTCAGCCATC